TCCCTCAGTACTGATCCTCCGACAGTGCGGCGCTCCCTCAATACTGACCCTCTGATAGTGCAGCACTCCCTCAGTACTGACCCTCTGATAGTGCAGCGCTCCCTCAGTACTGACCCTCCAGCAGTGCGGTGCTCCCTCAGTGTTGACCCTCCGACATCACCCTGAGACTGTGTTTTAGGCAATAATCATAAATTATACAGCACAGAAGGTGACCATTCGGTCCATCCTGGCTGTGTTGGCTTTTTGGGAAAACTTCCTGCTTCTTCCCAGTGCTTCATTATCACTTCATGCTGCAAGAGCCATGATTGGTCACTCTCCAGAGAGAATGGAGTGCCAGTTACTAGTTACTGTGGAGATGGTTATAGTAAACTCACTCGTATGATGAGGATCCTCTTCAGAAACCTCTCCAAGACATGAAGCATGTGATGGAAAAGTAGAATTATACAGTGATTAATGACAGAGCTTTTCTGTTAAAACAGAAAACAGGAAATGTTTGTTAGGCACCAGTGGGTTTCCCTGATGGTTGGCTGTATTTTTGGGCCATCACTGAATAACATGCATGGTCCAAGCTGCCACACGGACTTTGCATTTGTTAAATAAGCAGGTCATGCATTGACATATATCCAACATTAATCAGTGGTAGAGCCATCTCTCCCTGTCTCCATATCTCCCCCTCACTTCATCTCTCTCCCTCCACATCTTCCCTCTCCTACATAACCTCCATTCGTCATGTCCCCTCCCCACTTTCCCCCTTCGGATCACCCATCCCCTTATCTCTTCCCGTATCTTCCCCCGCCCCAACGCTCACCATCTCCTCTCTCAGCCTCTGTTCATTTCCCGTCCCCCACACCTTTCCCCTGACCTCATGCATTTTATTCGTGTTACACTTCCTCTCATCTTCCCACCCGTCATCTTCTACTTGCCCTCATTGAGCCCCTCGTCTCTCCCCCCTCCCTCATCTCTCCCCCACCCTCCCCATCCTGGTCTCCTGCTTGTACTGTTCCCTCCCCACCTTTCACATTGCTTGTGAAGCCTTCCCTTGGTCTCCCCTCGCCTCACATGGTTATTTCCCCTGTAAGACAACTCCAGCCTGAGCAGCACCCTGGCAAATCACTTGTGCACCCTTTCTCATGCAATCACATTCCTCCTGTAATGTAGTGACCAAAACATTTACACAGAAAGTGGTTCATGTGGGGAATGAATTGCCAGAGGAAGTGGAGGATGCGGGTACGTTAAAAGACATTTGGATATGTTCATGAATAGGAACAGTTTGGAGGGATACAGGCCAAGTACAGGCAGGTGGGACTAGTTTAGTTTGGGATTATAGTGGGCATGGACTGGTTGGACCGAAAACTCTATTTCCATGACTCTATAACTGTACTCCAGTTGTGGCCATTTTTATACAGTGCCACCATAACTTCATTGCTCTAAAGGAGATCAAAACGAGAGAAATACTGGGGGAGGGGGGTGCGGTGTAATCATTTAACATTTGTTTATCTCTATATTGTGGGAGAGATTCACTTAGTTCTCATGGTGACCTGTTCAAAGAATAGAAAACATCAACTTCAAGTTGGCCGCCAAAATTGAACATTCGCAACTCAATAGCAACAATGTGGAATAACAAGGTGTAGAGCTGGATGAACACAGCAGGCCAAGCATCAGAGGAGCAGGAAAGCTGACGTTTCAGGCCTAGAACCCTCTTTTCTGAAGAAGAGTCTAGGCCCGAAATGTCAGCTTTCCTGCTTCTCTGATGCTGCTTGGCCTGCTGTGTTCATCCAGCCCTACACCTTGTTATCTCAGATTCTCCAGCATCTGCAGTTCCTACTATCTCTCAGCAACAATGTGGGGACAGGAGGTTCAGGGTCAGAGAAGCTGTGAGGAGGGGATTGAGAGCAACTTTGGTTCATAGCAAGCAAACAACCACAGGCTAGTGACTGGCTAATCAGGTCTGAGAATATTCTTCCTCTTCCTGTTCTCTGATGAGTGCACAGATGAAACAAGCCGTCATGACCGCCCCGATCAGCTGCAAGGCAAAGGACCACAGCTTTAGAAATCAACCACTTAGCAACCTCTGTATTTATAGTTTGTAGTTGAAAAACGCAACCCAACACATTAAATAACACACCAGGTAAATGTCCTACGCTGAAACCTGCCTGAAGGGCACCAACTCAGGTGTATCTGCAATCTGAAATTACCATACTGGGCCAATTATCCGTGCCATCACCCGAGTGATGAACCAACTTGATTGATCGATGCGCTTTGGTAGTTCAGTTGGTGCATTGTTGGGTTAGCTACTCAGTACCAGTTTCAGTGCAGCCCTCAAAATGCAGCGAGGCTCAAACTTCTGGCACCAAAAGAGGCCGTCACAGGGATATCAGGCTGGGTCTGCAATGTGGGCATACATCCATTGTGGCGGTAAAAAAAGATTAGCCTGATATTCCCGCACATTGGCCCGTTTAGAGGTGTGCCCAAACAGACCAGGTGTTGACGACAATACTCGAATATAGTGGAATGGAAAGCCCAGTACTTCCTCCCACCACCACCACCAACCCCACCTCAATGCACTAATGCAGAAAGAAAGGAAAATATTGCCGGTGCCATTCCAAGAAAGGCGATGGGACTCACCTGAAGACAAGCTACACCAATACCAACTGCTCCAATCAGCAGAGTGTTTTCTGCCAGGGTCTGTTCCAACATGGTGATGCATCCACCCTGCAAACAACATATTCAACATCAAATATACCCACTTGCTTCGGTTCACGCAAGCTTTTGCTGCTAAGAAGAGGTTTGGTTTTACTCCCAGAATTTGTTCAAGGCTCTCACATGGAAAAGTCAAAGACAAAAGGAGTAGGTTACCTTGGGAACATGGTGGCACCTCGCTGTAGGAGGAAGACAGTAAGTTCAGGGAAAGTGCAACCCAGTCAGGAAGATATCAGCAATGGGGGATTAGAGTTCTGTGCAACTTGAGTTTCTTTCATTGAGTACAGAAGTTTAAGGAAAGATATAAAGGACAGACAGTTAATGGTCGAGTAGGAGGTCATGATCTCAGGAAAACCACATTAAGGGAGAGATTAGAGGGAAATTTATATCAAATCAGTGATTTCCCATGAAGTGGTGCTTGATGTGATTTGAACATTCGCAAATGAAATGAATAGTTGCTGATAGAAGAATTCAGAATGAAAGGAACATGAGACTGGGTAAAACCAGACTTTAGGAGGGGCATATGTCCAGAGGCGGGAAGGAAAAACTTTCATGACATTATAATTAGAAGTTTCATAAAATGACCATTAATTTGTCAGTTTAAAATTAAAGTAATCCAAATTAGCAAAGGCAAAGTATTCATTTACACTGAGCTATTTCCTGTCTCATGTATTATTAAGTGGTTAAGAATGTGGACCTGCATTTCAAATCACTCTTTTCCACTGCATTCAGGGAAGGTTACTTTTTATTTAACTCATTTTTGTAAACAATCTGCTCAGTGATGTTATTACACACCTCTGGAGCAGGTGGGATATGAACTCAGGCCTCTTGGTCCAGGGGTACGGATACTACCACTGCACCACAAGAGGACCCCTCAGGGATGGTTATTGTTGGTCGGTACCAATTGGTTGAGCATGTGATAGTCTAGTAAATATGAACATACAAATCAAGAGCAGGAGTGGGCCATTCAGACCCTCAAGATTTGCTCTGCCGTTCAATAAAGATCATGACTGATCCAATTGAGGCCTCATCAAGAATCTATCTACTTACCTCTGAATTATCTCTGCCTTAAAAACATTCAATGATTCTACCTCTACTATTGTTTGTGTAAGTCCATTGCAAAGACTCAAGAGAAAAAACAAATTCTCTTCATCTCCATCTTAAGGTCAGAAATCACATGACACCAGGTTATAGTCCAACGCGTCTATTTGTAAACACAAGTTTTCGGAGCCTTGGCTCCTTCTTCAGGTGTCAGTGGGAGAGGTGGGATCAGACACAGAATTTATAAGTAAAAGATCAAAGGGTCACACAGTTGATGAGGATGTATTAAACAAATTTAAGATGTTGTTAAATCTTTAATCAGTTAGAAGGTTTTAATTGATTATGTATATGTAAATCCCCAAATTCCTTTCAAAGTCACTGTCCTGAGAGAACTAAAGGTTTTATCAGTGTAAAGAAAAGGTGACATTTTTGGTCAGACTAAATGCATGTTAGGTGTACGGCCTTGTTTAGAATCTGTTTGTGTTTTGGTTCGGAGTCAGACTGGTTTTGCTTCTAAAGTAGTAATTTATAAAACACCACATTGACTAACCATCTATAAATTGTGTACTTTTTGAACAAAATAGAATGTATCTGCAAATACAAATTCACCCCATAGATTTACATGTGTGTGTGTTTGTGTATGTGTGTGACAGAGAGGAGGGGAGAGTGTGTGCGTGCATGTGTGTGTGTGTGTAAGGGCGGGGAGAGAGAGAGAGAGGGGGTGTGTGTGTGGGGAGAGAGAGAGTGAGCTTGTGTGTGTGCGTGCGAGAGAGAGAGAGAGAAACAGAGTGTGCACGTGAGGGAGAGAGAGTGTTTGTGTGTGTGTGTGTGTGTGGGAGGGAGAGAGAGTGCATTGTGAGTGTGAGGGAGAGAGAGAGACTGTGTATGCATGTGAGGGAGAGAGAGAGTGTGTGTGCGTGTGAGGAAATGAGAGAGATTGCGTGTGCGCATGTGTGTGTGTGTGAGTGTGTGTGTGACAGTGTACAGTTTGATAGGGTCACCTGTAGTGCAACATGAACCCAAGAGCATGGTTGAGGCCGTCCTCGTGGGTCCCAGACTTGGCTAACAGCCTCTGCTTGGCGATTCTGCATTGTTGTCTATCCCAAAGGCTGCCTTGGAGGACGTTTACCCAAAGATCTGAGGCAGAATGTCCTTGATCACTGAAGTGTTCCCCCACTGGGAGGGAACATCCCTGCCTGGCGATTGTAACGTAGTGTCCATTCATCTGTTGTTGTACTGTCTGTATGGTTTCACCAATATACCATGCCTTGGAGCAACCTTGCCTGCAGTGTATGAGGTAGACAGTGTTGGCTGAGTCACATGAGTATCTGCTGTGCACGTTATGGGTGGTATTCCCATGTGTGATGTTAGTATCCATGTTGACGATCTGACATGTCTTGCAGAGGTTGCCGTGACAGGGTTATAGTGTTGTGGTCAATGTTGTCCGGAAGGCTGGGTAATTTGCTGTGAACAATGGTCTGTTTAAGGTTTGGCGGTTGTTTGAGGGTGAGATGTGGAGATACAGTGAAGATCATGGCCAGGTGCTCATTGTCATTGATAATGTATTGAAAGCTGCAGAGAACATGGCGCAGCTTCTCTGCTCCTGGGATGTACTCTCCCACCACCACCGTTCCCTGCCCGCCCTCCCTAACCCCCTGCCAACACACACACACTCTCCCTCTCTCTTTCTCCCACCCACACACACTCACTTGCTCTCTCCCCCCCTCACACACACACACTCACTCACTCTCTCTCCATCCCTCCCTTCACACACACACACACACACACACACACACAGACTCTCCCCCCCTCTCTCTGACACACACACACACACACACTCTCTCTCTCTCCCTCCTCACACACACACTCACTCACTCTCTCTCTCCCTCCCTCACACACCCACAGACTCTCTCTCTCCCCCTCTGTCTCTCACACCCACACACACACTGTCTCTCCTCCTCACATACACACACTCTCACTCTCCCTCACACATACACACACACACACACACACACTCTCTCTCCCCCTCTCTTTCTCTCACACACAAACACACTCTCTCACTCACTCACACACACACACACACACACACACTCTCTCTCCCCCTCTCTTTCTCTCACACACAAACACACTCTCTCACTCACACACACACACACACACACACACACTCTCTCTCTCTCCCACACACACACACACAAACACAGATACACTCTCCCTCCCTTCTCTCCCACACATAAACACAAACACACACACACACTCTCACACACACGCACACACACACACACGTAAATCTATGGGGTGAATTTGTATTTGCGGATACATTCTATTTTGTTCAAAAAGCACACAATTTATAGACAGTCAGTCAAAGTGGCATTTTATAAATTCCTACTTTAGAAATAAAACCAATCTGACTCCAAACTAAAAAAAAACAGATTCTAAACAAGGCCTCACATCTAACATGCATTGTCTGATCTAAAATGTCACCTTTTCTTTACATTGATAAAACCTCTAGTCCTCTCAGGGCATTGACTTGAAAGAAATTCAGGGATTTACATGTACACATTAATCAATTAAAACCTTCTAACTGATTAAAGATTAAACAGCATCTTAGGTTTGTTTAATACATCCTCATCAGCTGTGTGATCCTTTTATCTTTTACTTAGAAATTTTGAGTCTGATGCCAGCTCTCTCACAAACACCTGAAGAAGGAGCGAGGCTCCAAAATCTTGTGTTTTCAACTAGACCTGTTGGACAATAACCTGGTGCCGTGTGATTTCTGACCTTGTCCACCCCAGTCCAACACCGGCACCTCCACATCATGGTCTCCATCTTAAAGGGATGTTCCTTCATTCTTAAACAGTGTCCCCTTGTTCTAGCCTCAAGTGGTTATGGTTCTGGCCTGATAATGAGACATTAAATGTAATTACTAGTCTGTTTACTTCTTACTTCAGTAACACCCCATGTGGATAATGATTATCCTTTCAGATTGTCCTGAGTGACCTTCCAACCAATCACTACAAAGAAACTACAACAAAAAGATTTAATCTATCATATCTCTCAAGCAGTCAAACCAAACAAACAAACAGATCATTTCTATCTTTTGCGCCACATCATTGTGGACCATCACTGGAGAAAAACTGAAGGACATATCAAGTACATCAGTGGTACAATTACCATCCCAATGCCCAGATGCCAGGTGGGGTCTTTGCCAGGTAATGACGTAACCAACATCAGGAAGTACCTTGCTTGACCTCGTCCTCAATAAAACTGAGGTGACTGGCAAAAACACCCTCTGGTCAATCTAGAAGGTTGTGGATGTCATTAGGAGCCTCAGGATATTAACGTGCATTCACTGAAATTACATATATTGCTGAAAAAAGAAGCATGTTGCATTCGCAGGCTCCTGTTTTCTACAAAAGAAATTGCTTACTGTATAACTGAGATATCAGAAGATAGCAATCAAGCCACAATGTGCTCTTCCTCCACCAGTTCATGGAATCTTGTTGGAATGTGAGGCAGAGTTGCGTTGAGTTGCTGGTTATGGAGCAGCTGAAGGGAACTGATCACCTTTCTCCATCCTCTGGGTTCCTGATTAATACATGGCCCCTTTAGTTGACCAGGAAATCCAAGTTGAAACCTTGTGCCCCCACCAAATAAAATCTTCTCCCACTTTGTGTGAAGCCCTTTCAAAATTAAATGCGAATGCCACCATTATTTTGGGATGTTGAGATTCACCTTTCAAGTTTTGGCCTGTCACCAACAACGTGCTTCCCTCTCTGTTCCTACCTCCCCAGTTTATGACGCCATCCACCCTCCAAATTCTGCTGAGCTCCTCAGTGACCACTGACTCCAACATTCTGTCCCTGGAGCCCCTCACCATCCAGGTCCCAGTGCTATTGCTGAACAATATGCCTTTCCTGATAGAGGCCATCAGCACTCTGATATTCCTTGACCCTCGATCCCCGCCGCCCACC